CTTAAGCGATTCTCTTGCCTCAGCCTCCCAAGTAGCTGGGACTACAGGTGCCCGCCACAACGCCCAGCTATTTTTTGGTTGCTATTGCAGTTGTCATTGTTGTTTTAGCTGGCCCGGGCCGGGTTCGAACCTGACAGCCTTGGTGTATGTGGCTGGCGTCCTGGTACTCACTGAGTTACATATGCCACCAGCAAAAGTGACATTTAAGATATAAAATTTTAACTTGGAAAAAGTGCAATTTTAAAACAAAATAGTTCAATTATTTTAGTATATTAAAATAGGAAATAAATAAATAAATTGTATAATCTTTCCTTAACAGCCACATACAGACTGACAGATATATTTACTTAGCATAGGATTTTATGGCACACCATAATTACATTTTATGTCCTCCCCTTGGTTTTGATCTTTTATTTAAGTTTATTAACTTGAAGAATCCTGGCTCTGATTCTTCTTAAATATAATCTTAACTGTCTCACACAATGACTTAACCTTTTAGAAATCAATTACATGAGAAAAAAACCTTTTTTTCCACAGAATTAATAAGGCTAAATTTAATGACAATAACAATGTTTAACATAAGGATTGAGAACAAAAACTTCATAAAGAACAAATGAAGATAAATACATTCAGAAGAGAAATCAGACAATTGCTGCAACGAAATATTAAGCAATAATAATAGTAATAATGCAAAGAAAGTAACATTCACATTGTTAGACAGAAGTATGTCTATTATATAATACTTTGATCAGTTAACCACTTGTTCTTATTTTGTTTTTTCCAAAGTCTCAAAAAAATAGACAACTAGTATTTATAAATAAAAGTAACAGATAATTTCAAAAGAACAGATCACGTCAAATCTTATAGACAATAGAAAAAGAAATACTTCAAAATTATTCTACTTAATCTGGATACACCTGATATTAAAATTGGAGAATATATATTATTATAAAGGAGAAATTATAAACATATTTCACTTATAAATGAGGATGAAATATGATAAACAACATATTAACATGTTGGATTAAAAATTAATGTTTAAGTAATGTACTTTGGTCCAAATTAAATATAATTTATATGAGAATTGGTCAATTACATGAGAAAAAAACCTTTAATTACCATTTCATAATCTGTTTTTTTGTCTTTACGCATCTGATTAATGGCGCTTAAATAACTTGGCGGAATGATGAGGTTTTTGAATTCTCCAAAATCACACTTTTCATTCTTTAAGCTACTTTTCATGCACTCATCATGTACTGTTTTCTGGCACCAAATACACCTGAAGAAAGAAACAAAGACATTAACTTTAAACTATAATCTTATTGACCCAAAACCCAATCATTTTTGTAAATAAACAAACAAACAAACAACAATTTCATCCTTATTTAAGCATAGAATGTGGCAAATACAAGATAATATAACCATATCTGCATAATGAAAACAGAGCAGTAACACTTGAACATCATTTGTTTCTGAAAGTGTGACTTGGCACCCTCAAGATCCATTTAGGGTATCTGTGTCAGATTAAAATAAATAATAATACTAAGAAGTTATTTCATCCTCATTTTCTCAAAAGTATACAGCGAAGTTTTCCAGAAGCTTTATGACGTGTGCCATAATAACAGAAGCAGATAGAGAATCTAGCTGAATCTCAAGTCAGATAATGCACAAAACTGTAAAATAATTTTACTCTTCCTTCCAAATTTTCATTTTTCATAAAGATACGTTACTTATGTTATCCTTATTATTTTAAAATGAACTAGTATCTTACCAGTTTCTCGGTTTTAATTTATAGCATGGCAAATGTCGATATAATCTACATAAACCAAAGCTGATCTAGAACAACAGTTTTATGCATATTTGTGCTTTGATAGATGGGTTTGTGAGGCCTGAAGTCCTTGCTAATCAAATGCCCTGCTGACCTCGGCCCTTGAAGAGTTTCCCAGGGTCCAGTTTGAAAAGCTCTTAGCTCATCAATATAAATAAAATAGTCCATTTGTTTTTGGCAGTTAATATAAAACCAATTTGTGTTTGCTTTTCAAATATAGAAAGAACAGTGGGATTCAGATTTGTCTCTAGTTTGGATCTAATTCATGGACCAAACTGGGAAGCGTGCTCGGAAAGGTCCCAGGTTTCTATTATTAATCTGCTAAGTATTTAATCCACTCAGGGATAGGCAGATCTGACTAGACAAACAGAAGAAGGGCATCAGAAAAGAACTGTTATGATTAAATGAATTAAAAAAAGAAGATAAATACCCTTTTACCCTGAGCTCTTTCTAGTTTAAGGCTGTTTTTTGCCTTTGGATATTCAGATTTGTCAAGTAATTACTGCTGTTTATTCAAGAGACCTACTGATGTCTAAAGAACAATGATCTACATAATCTGTTAAAGAGAATACCATAAATAACTTGCACAATAACGTTTTTGATACTGGTTTTCTATTTTTCTTTAAACTTTATTCAAATTAATATGAGGGTACTATTTTTAGCTTATATTGTTCTCCCTTCTAGGGTAAAGTTCCATTTGTAGAAGAGCCCCTCACCCAGGGGGTCTGTTGATACTTAGTCTCAAACTAAGCTTGATATAATAGGATTGGTTAAATACTGAGGTATAACACCTCCCTTTATTGGTCTATCACTAATATACTTTAAAATAGTATATTATTATT